CCAGTGGGGCCAGGTGACATCTCTTTCCTCCTTGCCCCCCACCCCAAGTCGGGCCAGATGAAGCCCTCTTTTTCTCCTGCAGTGCCAGACACAGGCCGGACTGCTTCCCCACCCTACTCCACGTGGCCAGATGGTAGGCATGGCACTGGCATGGGTGCTGGATTGGAATCACCTTCCGGCCCACGGTCAGACCAGGCACTGCCCAAATGGCTGAAAGGGGAAAAATGCTGAACACCACTAGCATATACCAAGTGTTACTTGACAGCTTTTAATACAAAGAATGGTACAGTATATCACTGTAATTGCTAAACTGAAGGAAGAACAGAATAGCTTGCTTTGTTTCTGCAACTTGTAAAAGAATGATTCTGAATTCCATTGTTGCCACTGAATAATAATGTTTAAAAAAAATTAAATTCGCTGACTATTAAGTGCACATTACACACAAATGCTATATTCTTCTTAGCAGGTTTTCCTCTTGTTCTTCTTTCCCATTCAACATGATATCGATGCATTTCTTAATGAAGTATATTGATATGTTAATGTTCTGCTAAAAAATGAATTGTGTACAACATGGGTGCTTAAACCCTGGGGGCCAGTCCTGTCTGGAGGGGATGGCACCAGGCCCTTGGGGCCAATCACAGTGCATGGGGGGGAAGGGTTGGTGCCAGCCCCCAGGGCCTGATCCTAACACACAAGATTCAATCGGCATCACTTCCAGTTTTCATAGTCCCTGACAAACAGGTGATACCTGCAATATTTTTAGGGTTTTTCTTTTACACTGTTGTTACTGTTTTCAATGTGTGGTAACCTGTCATTCCCATGAGATTTTTATGTCATGGGACTATAAATACCATGACCATAATTACAAAAGAAAGATTCTATCATCTCAGTGTAGTTTTAACTTGTTGCTTATGAGTCTTGGGTTTCTTATCCTTTACCATGGTAGTTCCAAACCCTACTTCACTTTTATTCCTCTAGTCCTGTTATCTGTAAACTATTCCTTTCAGATTTTCCATTTTACTTCTTTCCCTTTTATCTCTGCTTCTCACCTATTTCTCCTTTTAATTTAGCACTGCTCTGAAAAGTTTATGAAAAGGGCACCTATACTGGTTTCCTTCCATTTTTCTTACTTCCATCAAGGCTATCTTGTTCGGTCTTTGAAAAATGGACAGTGAAGACTGAGATTCTCCTACCTAGAGATAATGCTACTCTGCCTAAGTTTATATCACAGCAGTGCCAATGGATAGCACAAGTAGGTGACCAAATATACCATCATTTGCTGAAACTGAAATAAAAAGCTGGAAGAAATAACAAAATTGTTCTTCCAAACCAGTACCTTCCTTTAAATCATATAACCTCTGGACTGAAAAACAAACAATGCACTTACCTGAAGTGTGATCATACCTGGCCTCAGTACAAACAATGTTCATTAACTACAAAACGCAGGATAGAGATACACCTTATAGGCTAAATGAGCAGTCTGAGCTAAAGCTTTCCCCACCTCTTCAAGGCTGGTGGTTACTGTTTCTAAGACTGCCTTATATAGACTCCAAGTGAGTCACAAAGCAGACAGCAGAACTGAAAGATGCTATACACATAAGTGGTTTATGTACTTAGCTTTTCTGTGACCATTGTTAGTTATATGCAGCACCTAGGGATTGGCATTGCACTGTGCAGTTAAGTGAATCCTGTGCTTCTTCAGTATGCGTGTCAATGGAGCACCCTGTGTTGGGATGTATGGTCATACGAACCACCAAATTTCACTAAAAAACTAGCATGGATTATCTGGTCCACTTAAACCCTTTGGAAGCAACACAAAATAGGTCTTAAAATCAATGCAGACAGCGTCTAAAACAGGAGGTCAAACCATTTTGGCAGGCATGCCACAAGTTAAGACCCGTATCCTCCACAAGGGCAATTCCAATCCTCTTGTCCTGTCTGATATGTCCCTCTGTGTCCTGTTCCCTGCCTTATTGCTGCTCCCTCCGCGATCTGCCACGTGCCACACACAGAGGCTGCCTGTGCCACCTGTAGCACCTGTATTGCAGATGGGCCACCCCTGCTCTAGAAAATCTTCCCTGAAAAAAAGGAACTATCTGACTCACATCTGTCCAAGTAAAGTTTGGAGCAGAGAATCAAGGCCTCTTACTTTAGTGGCTATCCTCTTGTTAGAATTGTTCTTCAGCTGGGCTAAGATTTCTGTTTGCTATTTCCAACTTCCAGCTCTTACAGGAAGTAAGAACTTCTTTAGATGTTAGGTTCAAATTCAATGCTGACATGTTAGTAGAGTACCAACAGAGAGTTACAGAACGGTTAGATGTGTTCAGGTAAGGTATCCTGGGGAGAAGGAGGATTGCCTGCTTAGTGGACCATCCAAAGGGAAATCAAGGATTATATGAAACTTGAGCAGAAGTTAAGCCATCTTTTCCTCTTTTGGCATGATG